TTTATTAATTTTATTAATTTTAATAACAAGATTCCTGATGAATGAGAATGAATGACAGGTTGATAACTCAAACATTTATTTCATCAGTATTATGAAAAAAGTTTGTGTTTTTATGGTAATTTTATGATTATAATTTGAAGCTATTGGTTATTTTTTGATAGATTCGTAAAGCAGTTAAAAATAAACATAATACATAAATTTTGGAGGTTATATGACCATTTAATAAAGCCTTTGCCATGTTTTCTTCATAATTTTATTTATCAATTTTTTTCAAAGAAAGGATCTGCATAAAATTAGCCAATCATTTTTGTTTTGTTTTTTTTCTAAAAGATTTCTAGATTGTCTATTTGGAAATTCCATATTTGGTAATAATCCTGACTGAATTAGTTTTGATTTTCTTAGAATGTCACACACCCGCTAGAAAACCCCCCATATATATATATATACAGAACCATACCAAAAATGGCAACTCATTCTACAAAAAAAGAAACTAAATTGTAGCTCAAAATTTTGTAAAACCTAAGTGACATTTGTCAATGATGTGATGATTAAATTTGTGGGCTGGGAGTGGCAGGAATTACAGAGTATTTACCAACTCTAAGAATTAATTTTTATTTGTCACGTAGGTTTTGTATATTTCATAAAAGGAACCTTTCTGTATATAATATTATTACCCCTAAAAATAATTGTGGCCTATTTTAGTTTACAATGCACGCAGCACATTTTAACAATAATTTTAGTAGAAGATCGGCGGTTGCGGCTCAATTTTTATATATTATGTAATTGATAAATGGTGAAAGAAAAAAAATTTTTTATTTATAAAAATTTGACTTTATCACAAAAAAAAAATTAATTTTAAAAAAATTAATTTTCTTCCATTTTAGATTTTATCTATGATGTTTATAATGAATAAAAGTTCAACTAATAATTCTCAAAAACCTAATAATTACGCACAAGCTGCAGCGCAGCAACAACCAAAACCAAATTCTCTAAATCATAACCCACTCCATCAGAAGAACCAGCATATTTCAATGCATCAGCAAACACAACAAAATCAACACTCTGCTGTTGCTTTAACTTCCACCAATTTTAATTCATCTGTTAACGGAAAATCAATTGCTTCACAACAAAAATTACAAACGACACAATTTAATTCGTCTTTAAGCAATGGAAATAACAATACAAGTTCAACAGTAGTTAAATCGTCTCATCCAAAAAAGAAACTAATGAGTTTACCGAAGAATATAAGTAATTTGAACTTACCTGGTATTTTATTATTTATCATTATGCCTATAACTGTTATTATAAATATATATATTAAAATTACCCTTTAATCGTTGGTATTTTTTTGAAACTTCTGACATTAATAATGCTTGCTATATATTACAAACCTCATAAAATATTATTTCTGTTTTATTTTTCTTAGTAACTCCAATTCAATTCGGGTCAATAAATATTCCTACAAATATCTCACAGTCCTCCTCTCCCATTCAAAACATTCAATACCCCCCTATTTTAAGTGGTGGTGCCTTGCCCTCACCATTACCAAAAAATGTAAATACTATTTTTGGAACGGTGAAAGCACAGGGATCTTCAGAAGAACTGGTATTCTTTCGAACGTTTTTTGTCAACCTTGATAAAAAAATTTTTATTCAAACATTAATTTTAAATATTTTCATTTCATCATTCATTGTTATTATATAATAATATAGGTACAACAAAACCCAATACAACAAAGTTCTGTTAATGTTGCTACCGCATCTAGTGGAAATTCCTCAGATGCATCTAAAAATATAAATTCCCGTATACAAAATGAAATACATAGAACTCAATCTGCTCCTCCGCAGCTTGCTCATCAAGATTTAGGTAATGGTAGAATAAATCAACAATCAACTCAACAACCTTCCAATTTAACTACTCGTCCTCAACCAGCTCCTATAGTGCAACAACAATCTATACCTGCCTCACATCAACATTCTCTTCCTACTCATCATCGTAAGGATTCAGCTTCTTCAACAGTATCCTCCAATGATGGACAAATCCAATCATATCATACCCCTTCTCTACTACACCATTCCAATCATAACCATACAAATCAACATAGTTATAATACTCATCATAGACAAAATCCTCATCATAAATCTGGTGGAATGGGTTCAGGTCCCGGACAAAACGTATCTAGTCAATTTGCTCCTAGATCAAGAGATAAATCCGGACCACAAGTTCCTATTACTTCATCAGCTCATATAAATGTTTCTCAGCCTCCACAAGTTCCTGCTCAACCTCAAATTCCACAACACTATCCAATTTTTTTTCGTGTATGTATAAGAAATTATTATTAATTAAAACAATTTACTTGTTATATATATATATATCAATTTTTAATAACTAATTTTTTTATTATGGGGTTTTTTAAAAAATAATCTCTTTATATTTATTAGCCGAATTATGATATGCAACCGTACTATTACACTCCACCGATATATATGAACCCAATGAACGCTATGAACCCAATGAATCAAATGAATCAAATGAGCCAAATGCCTTCTCCTTATGTTGCTCAACAACGACCTCCCATGCCGGTTTCTCAACCACATATTTCTACTCAAAATCAATCTCAATTTAATCCTCAAAAACAAAGTAAAGCGATTCAAATAATCAATCCTAATGATAATCGACCTCTAAATCTTACTGCACTAAAAACACCAAAGAAAGATGAAATCTCTATACCAAACATTTCTGAAACAAAAAAAACTGGTGAAATAGATAAAGTTAAAATTCAAGTCATTCCTGATGATAAAAAAGAATCTAAAGCAGTTAAAATAGTTGCTCCTGCGGATAAATTTAAGGAAGACCTAGTGAAAAAAGAGAAGGAAGAACATGAACGTAAAGTTAGAGAGGAAACTGAAAGAATGGAGAGAGAGAAAAAATTAGAGGAAGAAAGAAAAGTTAAGGAAGAGAAAGAGAGAAAGGAGAGAGAGGAAAAAGAGCGAAAAGAGAGAGAGGAGCAGGAAAGAATGCAACGCAAATTGGAAGAAGAACGTAAAGCCAAAGAGGAACAAGAACGAAAAGAAAGAGAGGAAAAAGAGCGAAAAGAAAGGGAGGAGGAACAAGAAAGGGAACGTATATTAGAAGAGGAAAGAAAAGCCAAAGAGGAAAAAGAGAGGAAAGAAAGGGAGGAAAGAGAGCAAAGAGAAAAGGAAGAAGCTGAAAGAATCGAAAGAGAACGCATATTAGAAGAACAAAAGAGAGCTAAAGAAGTAGCTGAAAGAGAAGAACAAGAACGTAAAGCAAAGGAAGAGCATGAAAGAAAATGTAAGTTGGAAGAAGAAAGAAGAGCTAGAGAGGAAGCTGAAAGAAAAGAAAGAGAGGAAAAAGAGCAAAAAGCAAAAGAAGATCAAGAAAGAATAGAGAGAGAGCGTAAATTGGGAGAAGAACTTAAAGTCAAAGAAGCCGCCGAAAGGAAAGCAAAAGAGGAAAAAGATAGACAGGAATCAGAAAGAAAGAAGAAGCTTGAAGAACAATTCGAGAAAACTAGTATTAAAAGAGAAGAGAAAAAACATGAGAAGAAAAATAAACCGGATCCTTTAGACCTATCTCGTACAACATCTGCTCCATCTATACCTAATCCTCTTGGTAGTGCTCGTATTATTGATGATTTGAGCTCTGTTACTTACCCATCACACATTAAATCACCAAATCCTGAATTGAATTCAAATTCTACACCAGGAAAATTCAAATACGAACGAGGCTTTTTGATGCAATTTATGGATGTTTGTAAAGAAAGACCTGATAACCTACCACCAGTATTAGACGCTATTGGAAGAGATGAACCAAAAGATAATAAAAAGAATAATAATCATCGTGCTATGACTAATGCTATGCGTAGTGGTATTCAACATAAAAACAATTCAAGTCAACCACCAATGGGAGAATTTAAACTTCCTGGAAAAAATAGCGAAGAGCGTTTCAACATGTCCACTAGCAATATTAATAGAGCAAGCTCAAATTCCAGCGGATACAATAGATCTGCTTCACTTGGGCCTCGTTCTAGCAGCGGGAGTGCTATGTTTCCGCCCTCTTTATCAAATGCAAGTAGTCATAACCAAATGGGTTCAGGACGTAATTCAAGTGGAGGTGGCGGTAAAAGAATGGATAGTATGAATAGAAGAAAAGGTAATCAACAAAATCTGCAAGGACCAAACACAAATGTAGAACCTATACAGCCGCTTGAACAAACTAAGGACAGATGGGTTCCTCCTACACGTGTCATAGGAACTACACCTAAAGCCTCCGAAGATCAAATACCAATGGATGTGGTTCAACGCAAAGTGAAGGCATTATTAAATAAGTTAACATTGGAGAAATTCGACATTATTTCAGATCAAATAATTGAATATGCCAATAAATCAAAATTCGAAAAAGATGGTCGCATCCTCAGAGAAATTATTCGGCTGATATTTGAAAAATCATGTGACGAAATCAACTTTAGTCAAATGTATGCCCAACTTTGCAGAAAAATGATGGAAATGATTGATCCAGAGATTACTGATGAAAATGTAAAAAACAATGATGGAAAATTGGTTATGGGTGGAACTTTATTTAGAAAGTATCTATTGAACCGTTGTCAAGAAGATTTTGAAAAAGGTTGGAAGGTCAATATTCCAGTTCCATCAAATGAAAAAGGAGAACCAGATCTTTTATCGGACGAATATTATTCCGCAGCAAAAGCAAAAAGACGCGGACTTGGTCTTATACGTTTTATCGGTGAACTGTTTAAATTGAGCATGCTTACTGAACGTATTATGCATGAATGTATACGAAAATTGTTACAAATCCAGAATGCCAACGAAATTCCAGGGGAAGAAGAGATGGAGAGTTTATGTAAATTATTAACAACTGTTGGTAAACAATTGGATCATGATCATGATAAGGCAAAAAATTCTATGGACGTGTACTTTAACCGCATGGATGAAATGTCTAAAAACAAAGCCTTTAGTAGTCGTATAAGATTTATGCTTCAGGTAAGAATATAGATATAAATTTATACACGTTTATTTATTTATAATTTATTGATTTTTCAATTAATAGGATGTTATCGATTTGAGAAATAACAAATGGACACCTAGACGTGATAATAATGCACCAAAAACTATTTCTGAAATTCATGAGGATGTAAGTAATTAATAATCTTTTGTAATATTCCTTTTGTAAAGGCACGAATGCTTACATTATTAAAAATCGTTTTTAGGCCGCTAAACAAAAAGAGGAAGCAGCAGAAACATTAAGACGAACTGCAAGCTCTGGTGGCCGAGGTTTGCCTAAAATAGCAGAACAAATGTCACGTGGTGGTTCTGGGCGCCGTGATCTTAAAGGCTCTCAGACTCATGGCCCTAACAATTTTCAATCTAATAATGAAGGTTGGAGCACAGTTGGGGCACCATCACGTAAACCAATTGATATATCAAAATTTGGTTCTGTTCGCGGTAAAGTTTCTGGACAGGTTAGCTTGGGGGGTCCTACTAGTCTCATGCCTTCTGCAAAAGGATGGAAAGTTGAAAGTAAAGAACGAGAAGAAAAGCCTACAAACATGACTCGTACTAGTTCAACAGGAAACATGTATAATGTTTTGAACCAAGAGAATTTAGAAGGAAAGAAAAATGTTGAAAATCCAACCGAAACATCAAAATCATCACAGGCTACAGAACGAAGGAGAATAATATTGGCTCCTAGGACATTACCCAAAGACGAAATTAGTAATTCTCCGCCTAAACCGACAAATATTACAAGCTCTGTACCACTAGTAGGAGAGACTAACGCAGTAGCTAAAACATCAGAGTCATCAATATCTATTGAAATTGCTCAAAAAAAAATTCAAAATATGGTTGAAGAATATTTTTCAGTCTTGGATATTAATGTAAGTGTGATAAAAAATTCGATTATTCATTCATTACTCGTTATTAAATTAAATCTGTACTAAAAGATTTAACCAATATATGTAGGAAGTACTAATGTGTGTTAAGGAATTACCTATAATGTATCATTCAAAATCAATTGAAGGGTTTGCAAACACAGTACTTGAGAAAAAACAAGAAGATGTTCATAATGTTATTAAAGTATTTAAAAAATTAGTGTCTGATAATATTGTCAAGAAATCGGATTTTAAGGAGGGCTTGATAGAAACAATGAACTTTTTAGTAGATATTGGAGCAGATGCACCATTTGCATATGAATATACAGGTCAATTGCTATGTGGAGCAAAAATGGACTTTAAAGATATCCCAGATTTATTTAAACCTTTAATAGATTCAAAAGATTTTAAAGGAACAGAAAAAGTGATGAAAGGGTATTTAAATACATTAAAGAAAGAGATGGTATGTATTTTTTTTTTTAGAAATTATTTTTTTATCAATCGTAATTAATTAAACTTTGTTATTTAAAGGATGAACAATCAATTTTAAAAATGGTGAATGAATCAAATTTCGATTTTAAATCAGTATTCATAAACAAACCTATTGATATAAATAAATATCTCGATGATTTTGTAAGTTAAAAATAGTCTATCAATTTTTTTATTTTTTTAAATTCAATGATTATAACAAAAAAATATTTGACAATTGTACATTTCAGGGACTTGGGATATTAAATAAAACGGGTTGATTGATGTAAGAAAAGAACATAATTAATTTAACGCAACATTTTTCATATATTTTTGTTTAAAAGAAAAGTAAATTTTAGGTATTACGAAAATGTTTGCGTTGTGTATATAAAGTTGTTAACTTAACTTTAATATTTGATATTTATGTTAAAATTAATATTAAAGTTAAGTTAATTGCTAAATTTTTTTTAAAATGTATAGAGGTTTTATTTATATTAAAGGAATTAAACATTTATCCAGAATTTCATTCAAAGTATTTTTATCTATTTATTAGGAAAAAATTTTATAATATGTCTAATAAAAATTAATTAACTATGTTGAATGAATTCTGGATAAATGTTTAATTTATTAGTTTAGAAAATAAAAAAATATAACTAATTTTCTCGTATAATATTAAAAATCTTTGAATTAATATGAATGAATCAAAAGGATGTAATCAATTCAGACTCTTAAACTTTTACCTGTAAAAACCAATGTGAAACACTGGTATTGACCTTATATATAAATATATGTGCACCATTGGGATATACCAAGCTTTGTAGAGACTAGCCAAAAACCATCATTGCTTTCTACTAAAACTAAGGTTAATCCCACTTGATCCTTGAGTAGAATAATAGTATTGAATGTAAAATTAGATGTGATAGTATTGGTGATGATGATGGTGCGAGTTAGATAGTGTTGCAATGTAGATGATGGATGGTGCGAGTTAGATGATGGCGCAAGGTAGATAATGGTAATATTAATTTCTGTGGAATGCCACTGTGAAATGATTAGGTTGATCTCCATTGTTGTTGTACATATATATAAATAAAAATATCACATACAGTCAAACCTTGTCATAACGAATTTCGAACTAGTACAAAGTTAGAAGGTATCTGCAGAAATATTGTATTTGATTGGATATTTCTGCAGATACCTTCTAAATTTGTACTAGTTCGAAATTCGTTATGACAAGGTTTGACTGTATGTTCCTTGCAGCATTGACATCTCTGTTCCACAAAGTCAAACAAACGCTTTTACAAACTTTGAGTGTAGATGCATTGTGGTTTTTGGAAGACACCTTCACATAAAGAACATATCTTGAAAAACCAATAGAGAATCTACTATTAAAATCAATCAACAAAAATATAACAGGATTGTTTCCAACATTTCAATTATAAATAGATAAACATGCCTGACTTGTATAGGCTTCATTTATTAAAAATGTCAAGCAACTATGATGACATTTCTGATATAAAGCTTTCTTGGGACCTGATACATGATATTTTGATGATGAGAATCCTCCACAACAGCAACACCAGGATTAAAACATTATGTGGATTTCCAGTGATATGACAAAACAAGAACAGAAAGGGCTGACTGCTTTTCACAATAATTGTCAAATTTTAAAGAACAAAAACAGCTGACACCAAAGAACTCTTTGAAGGTTTGATAATTAGAGAGTATAAATTTGTAAATGATTCTTAAAGTTATCTTTTGATGATGTTTTTGAAGTAGGAATTCGGCAAATTAAAGATTTGATACCTTGCTTGGTTCTTTATTGGGTTGGCAAGGACGATGATTCTCTGCTTTAAGCAGAAAACCGCAGAAATCGCAGAAGTATGCATCAAAAGCAGAAATGTGAAGAATTATATCTAAAATTGGTTAGGTGCTTGATATCTTTCTATTTTTGTAACAGACTGTCACTCAAGGTGAATATCTTTTCCATTTGTAGAAAGACATCTTTATCATTTAGATGCTTTTTTACAAAGCAATTGTAATTCTTCTGATTTTGGTTCCAAAATTGATTTAACTATAATTTCTCATAATTTTAATCCAAGTGATTTTTACCCTAATTTTCATGTAGCTTTTGAAGCT